ATTCTATATTAATTTTTCGACCTCTCATATGGCAGCTATATCATAGAGTTATCCGATTTTGATCAAATTTAATCCGAAATTCAACACCCTGAACACCCTCTTCCAGAGGTGCATTGAAATGCTGGACACTGATCATCCCAAGCGCCTGTGCAACAGTCTGCAAACGCTGTGCTCCCTATTTTACGGAATCTTCAAGAAGTCAAACGCAGATCCCACGTTTAACATCCTCAACGAGATTTTCGGACACGAGAAGATGGACGAGTGGCTGAAGCTACTCATGCAATACTGCAACCGCATTTTGCTGGGCGATGTGCCTGAAAACGCCCGCTTCATGTGCCTGAAACTGCTTCAGGTTCTGGTCACTGGCACTGATAACGTCAACCAGAACGAACTCTTTGAGCACCTGATGATGCACAGCATGTTTGATGCCTTCGTCCGGCTTCTTAGCGACCCCACCTTCCGCTCCCAACACGGTCATGACATCGTTATCCTTCTCACCATCCTGGTCAACTATCGCAAGCACGAGGCTACCAATCCCTACGTGGTGCAGCTCTCCATTCTGGCTGATGAGCTGGCACTAAATGGCTATGGACAAATGATATCGCAGTCGCTGATTGACTTCTGCCGCCAATACATCCAGAGCCTAAACAATGTGCAGTCCTCGTCGTGGTTCTCATCGCTCTCGAATATTGTGGGCAACATGTTTGTGTCGGATGAAGGATGCGAACGGGTGCAGCAGATCAAGGCGAATAATGGCCTTCTACTAGCCCTCTATGAGGCAGTGCATCTGAACAGAAACTTTATCACCACTCTGGCTCACACGCAGGCGGAGTCCAGTGCCCCGCCATCGCCCAGTAACACTTTAAGCCTGGCTCAACCTGTGCCGGATTTATCGAACGCCCCTATCATCGACATTACCCACTCCAACGATGCCGGAGTGCGAGTACAAAGACGATGTCATCAAACTACTGAACGCCCTGGTCAATATCCTAGCCATTGTAAAGCACTTCCAGAACAAGATCAAGGAATGGCTGGCAGAGCAGGGCCTTTCCACGCCCACGGAGGAGCAAATACTCGATGTTGTGCGCAAGAACTATGACCTCACGCTGAAACTCCAGGATTCTCTGGATCAGTACGAACGGTATGCTGAAACGCCGCTGCACACAAACTTCTTTAAGCTAATGGTGCGCGATGTTGTCAACGATACGCGCAAGCACATCTACGGATATGTGAAGGAGGCCGTGTCCGTTGTTCCCGACCAGGAGGTTCTACTCACCACCTCGATGACCTCCGGCTCGGCGGGAGCAAACTCTGCGGCGGCCGCCACAGCCGTGCCAGAAGCAAAAGCCACACCTGCCACGTAGGGAATGGACCTCGACAGACTATCAGACTGTTAAATTGTTTCTTTTGCTTAGTTTAGTAACTGTATTTTAAATAATCAAATCTCTAGAAGCGTAAACTCGATGTAATCTATAAGATTTAAAGTGCTTTGCGAGTCTTTGTTAGCTTATGTTGTGAAGCAGTGCACATAAAGCATACCTATACATATATTCTGTGCAAGTTTTTTACATACGTATACAAAATATATTGCGTGTATATAAAAAAAAAAAAAAAAAAAAAAAAAATAGCAGTTAGAAAATGCCATCAGGATGAAATCAAGTCGATCCGATCAAAAACAGATGCCTGAGAATTTTTTATTTCGTTCTCTCGTATTGGAGCTATCCGATATAGTCGGCCGATCCGGCTCGTTCCGACTTATATACTGCGTGCAATAACTACACACCTTTTGGTAAAGTTTCAGCAAGAAAGCTTTAAAACTGAGAGTCTAGTTTGAAGAAAAACGCACAGACGGACAGAAGGACAGATGGACAGAAGGACAGATGGACAGACAGACAGACGTACATACATATTTGGATTCTGATCGTGATGCTGATCAAGAATATATATACTTTATGGGGTCTGAGGTGTCTGAAATTATAATACCCTTTGCTCTGCAAGGGTATAAAAAATTGCCGAAGTCATGTTCTCCGCCGCCAAAGTCTCTACGCCGGAGCCATTGCCCACTAATATCTCGAGAAACACTCGCTTAAATAGGCAGATTGAGTCGCTCCTACAGGATAAGCGCCGACTCCGTAGAGAGTGGCAAGTCCACCGGTCTCCGGCTTCAAAACAATTTAAATATCATTCTTAAGTTAAGATTTGAATACTTATTGTTAGTCTCTTAACCACGAAGAGAAATCCAATAAATGAAATAATTGTTAAAAAAAACCTGTTTCCTGGACCCGCTTGCTACAGTTTCCACGAGACTACATCCTCAAATGGCTATTCTTCCGTCCACCCTTCTCCGCCGTCTTCTATTTCATCATGACGATTAGCGATCTTTACGGGCTTCCTATAGTTGAATGCATCCATTCTTCAATCGCTCGCCTGCTTTCTCGTTTATTTCTCCCCTTAATCTTGTGATTTTTGGGTAGTACCGCTGCTTCGACCCGCACGACCTTTCCGGCAGCCTGTCCGCCAGCTCTTTGCTTATAAAGCTTACCCTGGCGCCGTGGCTTTAATTGACGTCATGTTTATTAGCACCGTGGCAGGCAACTGGATCTCTTCTGCCTTCAGGACGCCCATTAGTTTCTAGATGCATCACCATGCGATCCTTGGCTGGTCCTCGGATTCCAGGGCCTCTCTGCGTTTTTCGATCTCATACACTAAGCACAAGTTTGCCGCAGTCTCAGCCGTACATGACTTGACGGATTCGGTACTTTCTCTTCCAGAGGTTGTGTCCTCCATCTTTCCGGCATGCTTGTGCCCGACTTATTTATATAATTCTAGCCGTGTCTACCATGGCAGCGCCTCTATGTCCCTCCCTGCTCCCTTATGGTGACAATAGGAAGAACTCGGACCTTTAGGGCTGTCTCCTGCTCGAACCACTCCTGTTGCAGCTCGAGCTTCGTGAACTGGTCTGCCAACGCCATCAGGGCGCCCATATTATTGCACTCATATGGACGAACGAACAGCCACTGTGCTGGGGTGCTTCTTCGACATGCCTAGGGGTTGAATAGGGGGTCTGCATGTCCACCATGTACTTTATATACCCTTGCAGGGCAAAGGGTATTATAAATTCAGTCAGAAGTTTGCAACGCAGTAAAGAAATACGTTTGTACATCTGTCCATTTCTCTTTAAACCAGAGCTCGCAAATAACAGTTAACCGTTTTTCATCTAGTGCTCTGGGTGCGAGCACAACTGAAAAAGTTCATACTGTCTCGCTCTCGCTCTGAGCAAGAGCCCCTTGCTGCCATCATTTGTGTTTTCTGTTGAGCACTTTTCGTTGAGCTCTTTGCATTTCGGTCTTTCAATGAGCAGTGCGTAAGGAGCAGATCGAGAAACGCTCGTACAATGAGAGTCACCAAAAGACCGATTGACCGAAAAACTCAATGCAAACGGTCTTGTCATTTACACACACACGTTCAATTCACGAAGACGATTAATATATTTCGTCCGCAAAACCGATGTTTTACGATTTGCTTGCCTATACGTGCACTGTATACCAATACATATGCAAAAGACCTTTTGCTTCACTGAAAACGACAAAACGGTCCTGGAGCAACCAGAACAAAACCGAATAGAAAAAATCGGTTTCGGTCTGAGCGCAACCGAACCCATTTTAGGAACCCATAAATCGGTCGTTCTCTGAGACTTTTCGTAAAGGGTCAGGAAAATACTGTTATTAGCAGACAACGAGAAACGGTCGACTGTTATTTGCGAGCTCTGCTTTAAACTAGTCTCTCAGTTTTGAAGCTATCTTGCTAAAACGTTCCCAAAAGTTTTGTAGTTATTGCACGCAATATATAAATCGGAACGGGCTGGATCAGCCGACTATATCGGATAGCTCCCATATGAAAGAATGAAATAAAAAACAAGAAAGGAAGCTAGGTTCGGCAAGCTGCTCTGCAGCTCAAGTCGATCTGATCAAAAACAACAGTGTGAGAAATGTCTATTTCATTATCCGATATAGTAGGCCGATCCGGCGCGTTCCGACTTAAGTACTGCGTGCAATACCTACACAACTTTTGGGAACGTTTCAGCAAGATAGCTTCAAAACTGAGAGACTAGTTTGAAGAGAAACGGACAGACGGACAGATGGACAGATGATGCTGATCAAGAATGTATATACTTTATAGGGTCTGAGGTGTCTCCTTCACTGCGTTGGAAACTTCTGACTGAAATTATAATACCCTTTTTCTCTGCATGGGTATAATTCTCAGGCCGTTGGTTTTGATCAGATCAACTTAATTTCTTCCAGATGGCGATTTCAAAATTTTATCAAAATCGGATAGTTCTTTTATATAGCTGCCATAGAAATATATCGTAAAATATATATATAAATAATGAAAAAAAAAGAAAACAAACGTGGTTCTTTTTAATTCCACTAAGAAAAATTTCACTAAAATCCGACAACGTTATATTATATATAGTCCAAGGTCCAGAACGGCACCGTTATTTCCCAGCTTCTGCGCTCTGCCCCAGTCCAAGGTCCGTAATTTCCTGTTCGACCTGGACGGCTTTGGCCTCTCTCGCTATTGTCATGCGCTTTTTCCCCTGCACCTTGATTTGTGGGAAGTTTAAGACTCTTCACAAACGGAAAGCTTAGAGGACTAATTTTCTCTTATATGTTAGTCATGTATATACTTGTATTTTTATATTCGAGTAAATATTATTATTATATATATATATATATATGTAAGGAAGAGATGGTTGCGATCAAGTTGGCAACCCCACACAACAAGAAGGAAAACGGATAATAAGAGAAGAGAAACACACAGTCAAGTCGAAGTCGTCAAGTTGTCAAGTCGTAAAGTTGTAAAGTCGAAAAAAGTTGTCGCTTGCAAAAAGTTGTCAAATTAAAAGAACATTAAAAGAGCACGTGAAACACACTATTATAATATTAATATCTTTCTTAATAAATACTATATTACATATATCAATGGTTAATTATAATTACCTGGTAATTAGATAAATCCTTTATAAACATATCTTCACTGTTATTCATATAGTCAAACAAAACGTCTTGTTGAACATCTCGATTTTTTTCCACAAATCCATCAACAGCATAAATTACATTGCCAGCGTAATGTTTTATTCCAAACTCAGTTTCCCAATGACGACGATCAAATCCTTTAATATAATTTGGATGAAATTCAAACTCTGAGTGCATATTATTTAAATATGCTAAATCGGAACCCTTTGGCATATGGCATTGCTCTGTCAGTAGTTTTAACACACAACGGGGAGGTTTTTCTATCAATTCCAAGCAATAAGAGTTATCTGTGAAGTCTACATGCCCAAAGACGATTTCTTCTTGTTTGTACTAAAAAAAAAAAATAAGAAAGCTGATTAGTTATTGTAACTCATTATTTTTTTTAAAATTTTGTGTGTAACGAACTGCTTTTTCACTGTTTTCTCGCTACGTAAAACGCGCGGCTAACTCAGCTGAGTTTGTATATTCATCCCGCCAATTTATTGTTGCGTGATCCCGTCCAAGAAATACACAGAAATGGGGTTAGATTTAGCAATAGGGAGATTGGTTTATTGTTTCTCGGTTTATAAAGTTGATTTGATCTTGAAAGCTGCTGTCTAGCGACTATATCGCCCTCGTTGACGCCGGTGATGACTCCCGCGTCGACTCCTGCGGCAGCACGCCTGTCTCGCGTCCTCTATCTTACCGAGTCTTTCGGGTACCGGTCGCGTAATAGGCTCGCTACTGGTCTCTCACAACCTGGAGGATGTTAAGCAGAACCTCCCTAGCAGGGCTAAGCAGTGATGCCTACAGTCACCACTCTTCGCTCCACCACGGAGTTCGGTCGGGACTTCGTCGGCCTGACCCTCGGCAGGTCCTCACCCTCGTATGGACCGACACCGGGTACCTTACGCGCAACTCCACTGGATCTTCGTCGGCCTGGCCCTCAGCAGGTCCTCACCTTCGTGTGAACCGACACCGCGTACCTTTTGCACAACATCCACTGTTCAGACTTTTCCAACTTCGTCGGTCTTGGGACTCGTAGACGCGCCCTACAACTTACCTGGCACCCTTGGGATCTCAGCTTGACAGTCTCAGCTTATGTAGACGTGACCGTTAGAGGTGGAGAACTATCGATAGTCTGCGCCTTCGATAGCGCTTGATAGTTTTCAAACTATCAACTATCGGCGATAGCAAAGAAAAGCTATCGTCGATAGTTGTCGATAGTGCAGAGTACACTCAAAAAAAATAATTTAATTAGTGTTTCTAATGATATTTATTTATATATATAGTATTTATTTATAAAATATGGCATTGGTTTTCCAATCTTTATCTGAAAAGAATAAATAATTATTATTCGAATAATATGATTTTAATTTTTTAGGCTTACCTTAACTGCTTTCTATAAATTTATATATGTTCAGCATTTTTCTTTAATTAAATGTATACTTTTATTATTATGTATTTATCTTTGTGAAAAACAAACGCATGTATGTATATATGCGTATGTATTTCACAACAAACCGTAATAGCAGTAATGGCATCTCACGTAACACTTTTGTTATTGTCACACAAAATTTGGCTTTTAACTTTATAATACAATTTTACAATATAACAACAAAATAACAATATCTTACCTATTTGGAGAAAACGATCCATTATGTTTTTAATAACAATTTATAAAACTCTGTAACAAATTCGCGCAATTTCTTTTCCTTTACACTTTTAACGTAGACATTGGAAAACCAAAATATCGATAATAATCGACGATAGCGATTGACCACTATCGAGAGTGCGCGCAACTATCGATTGCGTATCGATAGTGGCAAACCATCGATAGTCCCGATAGTGTCATCGATAGTTCTCCACCTCTAGTGACCGTCGTTGGGCTTCTTAACTCGGCGATCTTGATCCGGATATATTAACACTTGGTATTCACTTGGGTTTCCACTCGCGTTGGCACGGTCTCCTGCACGACTTTCACTTGACTGTCCAGGCGTGGGTCTTGGACACGACCGTCCTCCGAGGCGGTTTCTATCTAACTCCCCGCGTTGCGCTTGCGCCGTCCTTTTATATCCCCTGCGGGTCCCATTATCCTCTCCAGCCGGCTCACGTGATCGGGTCCAAAGTGCATCGAGGTCCTGTTAATTCATAGTGTCTCCTCTTTGTGCGGGTCCGAAGTCCGCAGACTCAGACTCGGTCCAAAGTCCGCGGATTCACCGTTCGACGTCGATGCCCTTGCCGACTGGAGTCCAAGATCCAGAGCGGTACCGATATTTCCCTTTTTGGTACCCGCTCTTCCGCATGCATCTCGTCCCGCTGTTGCTATGCGGAGTTTTCCCTGCACCTGCAGTTGAGGGGAGTTTTACGACTCCTCACAAGTGACAAAACTCAATTTTCTATTTACTTTAAGTAATATGAGTTATATGTTAAATCCTCATGCCTAAAAACGATTTTTCTTTTTTTTTACTAGAAATAAAAACATTAGTTATGTTTTTAGTTACACCCGTTATAACTTGGAGCGAAAAGGAGAACAAGTCTTGTCGAGTTAGAGCTATTTAATTAGGTGAAGATAAATCTCTTATAGGCTTATAACAGGTGTGGCTGTCCGTTATTATGATCAGCTGTTTACATTCCTGTTGCTTTCAAACTAAACATAACAATGTATAACTCGGATGTATAACTTAAAAAGTACAAATTCATTAATTTATAGCATTGTGAATGTTTCTCCTTAAAAAGGGCTTTCGTAAATACATCAGCGACGTTGTCCATTGTAGAAACGTAGGCTATCTTGATTTCCTGGTTTTCTACTTGATCCCGAACGAAATAGAACCGAATATCGATGTGTTTACTCCTCTTATGTACCATCGGGTTGGTGGCAATAGCAATAGCAATAGCCGCCTGGTTATCGGATCCAAAATCGTTGCTTCCTTGACAAGATCCAGAAAACCCATGCTCCTGCTAACATTATTATATAGCCGCTGTAGAACTTTCAATCAGATGATTCTGATCCCTAATCTGCATCTGTGTAACAAATAAGATTTTCTAAATTGGTACTTTGCTGTCCATTTTGGTCAACTTCCAATCCCAAATAATACTTCACAGGTCCTCGATCAACTGTTTCGATGTTTTCGTTTAATTTCTTTACAATCGCTGCCATTCGTTTTAGATTCAAACATGCCAGCAGCATGTAATCGACATATAGGGCAATTAAATTGATATCGCTTTCAACTGTACGATCAATGTATACACAACTTTCTGTAGAGCGCTGCTTGAATCCTATATCCTTTAGAATCTCCGTGGTTTTTGAATGCCATTCATGTCCTTCCTGCTTAAGACCATAGATCGACTTCTTCAGCTAACATGAAGCATTCGGTCTGGCTTAATCGATAAACATCTCCGGCTGTCGCATGTATACATCTTCTTTAAGATTTCCATCCAAATACGCCGTCACGATATCAATGTGATTGACATATACTAAACTTTGCTGCAATTGCGAATATCAATTGTATAGTCGGATATCTGACTACCGGGGCGTATGTGTTGTTGTAATCAACACGCATCTGTTGTCCAAAGCCTTATGCCACAAGTCTAGCTTTTGTGTTTTTCAATGCTCCCATCAGCATTCCGTTTATTTCTAAACACCCATTTACTAACTAAAACATTCAATTTCTTATCGACGTCTAATAGCTAAGGGGCTGAGCTGTTCGCCAAATTCTTGGTCGTCCGTGCTTCCTTGATCTTGGTAAGATAACGTCATCTATCTCCGTGGTCATGCTGTAGATCCTGACCCTCCAGTTCACTTGCACCATCCTGCAGTTCGTTTCCTTCCAGCGGAGTATCTTCTTTCTGCGGAGTGTCCAGTTCCTACGGAATATCCAGTTGCTGTGGAGTGTCCAGTGTAATGTGCTGGTTAACATGGTCGTCAGAAGATCCTTCACTCGGTTTTCGTCCAGAATTACCAATCCAGTCGCAAATTTGGGGCGGTCAGAACTAGCATTATTTTCTGTCTCGTAATCTTTCCGTCCAATGGAAAACGATTTTTCTAAGAATGTCGCACAGTCGGAACGCCTTGGACTTCTCTGAGAATCCTAAAAAAATAAGTTTTATACCTTTTGTTTCAAACTTTTCTTCACCTGGCTGTTAATTCAAATTTATACGGTTGCATCCGAATGTCCTGAAATGCCTCACACTTGGCTTTTGGTTGAACATCCATATGGAGTCCTCTCACCCAACTTCTTTGTAATACTCCTGTTGCGCACAAAAGTAGCCGTTTTTATGGACTTTGCCCACAGGTACTGTGGTAGAGCCACCGCTTCCAACATACACCTCGCCATCTCGACTAAAGTTCGGTTGGCCCTCTCAGCTAATCCGTTCTGCTGTGGTGTGTAGCTTTCCGTTGTTTGATGGATTATGCCTCGAAGAAACGCTTTGAAGTCCGTATTAACGTCCAATATGTCCACACAAATCTCGTCTAATTATCTATAAAAGTTATTATTTATCTCGCACCAGATATTGATGCCATGCACATAGGTCCATATAATATATGGCATATATATCTAAATGTTTCAGATCAAGCTTATTTATTGTGTATATACCATTAAACTGATCGAATGGTTTTTTAAATCTGTTAAGCCACATTTCAATATTTGAATGTACCGCTGGATGTGCGCTGTATATCCATTGTTTATATTTTCTCGACACTCTAGCCTTAAAGATTCCAGCATCCAAAGTCACATTAAGCAATTTCTAATTCCTTTTGTTCACCACACAAGTCAATTTATTTGTAAATTTCAGAGAACGTCTATAACTAATTATTTTACCAACAGATAAAAAATGGCTCAATTCTGGAACAAATAAAACTTCTCGTAGCAAGATGTCCCTGCAAAACTGTGATTTTATTTTTACATGTTCCTAATCTGGAATTTCATTAGTTGTTTGAACAGACTGACTTTCCTTTCGGGTTCATGTGCACAATATATATTTTATGCATTGGGATGCATGGGAATTGGTTACCTCGACCCAACTGGATCTATTGTACCCCCTATCTTCCCGAATATGTTTTTATGTCCTGAGATCCATCTTAGTGACGGGCAGTTGTTGCTGCCCAGAAGGTTTAGCTTTGTACTTACTTCTCGGACCAGCTTCGAGGTGATCCCAATGGCCAGGTGGAACGTGTAATGAGCACGCTTAAGAGTATGTTGACCGTTGTCGAAACCAGCCAGAGGTCGTGGCAAGACGCCTTACCCGAAGTACAGCTAGCAATGAATTGTACGGCCAATCGAGTCACCAAGGTCAGCCCGATAGAAGTGCTAATTGGTAGGGAATCTAGACCTTTTGGCCTTTTGGCG